TTTTACACTTTTGTATGTAAACAAAAATTATATCAGCTGTTCGTCTAACTTGCAAGTTTCTGCAAATTTTCTGTTCGCGTACTATTTTGGATATTTCTCTCTTGTGAGAGAACAGATGACATTTCGCCGGAATTTGGCAGTTGGTTGGTTTCTGCTGGAGATTTTAAACGAACGCACCTAATGTCAATTGACTTTATTTCGCACCAGGGTGGGAAATAATGTCAATTGACCTTATTTCCGTTGATCTTATTACCTGTCACCTTTGGCACGACGATAGCACAACTCTCGTATTTCACGATTTTTAGTTTTTTTTTATGTTATATGTAAATTTTCATTACACTTTTTCAGTTTTTTTTTCCTTTTTTTCAGGAAAACATTAAACTTCGCACTTATTTCCGAGTTCTTTTTTCCGGACAATTCTTTTTATATTTTTCAGTTTATGCATATACATATATGCTCTCTTTCATACAAATGTCTGTTAATATATTTAAAAATGTTTATGTTTTTTACGGACCTTAATCAAAACCATTCTCATCCTCCGAGCAAGTGTCAACATTATTTATAGCCTACCCTTCTGCCTTGATTTAATTACTCACTTATAGGCTTATAGGGTAAAGACGCTGCTGAAGGATAACCTGGATCTACGCAATAAATACACCATAACGAATACAGCAGATTTAATCGAGAAAATGAAATCGTTGAAGATCAACAAAAACACTAAATTCGTATCATTCGACATCAAGGACCTTTACTCAACGATACCAACAATAGAAACCATAAAGACCGTACAAGAAATACTGATTGAAAGAATGACAAGAGAAGCTGCTACGGAAATAATAAACGCATTGAAGGTTACATTAAAACAGAACTACTTCCGGTTCAATAATAAGATATATAAACAGACGAACGGGTTGGGAATGGGTAATCCGACGTCAGCAATACTCATGGAAGTATTCATCAAACACTAGAAGGGAAATATATGGAAAACCTTTCCACCAACCTAGGAATAAAATTCTACGCGAGATATGTCGATGATGTAATATGTCTAATAGAGGGGAACAAAGAGAAGCAGATACTCGACTATCTCAACAAACAACACCAGAATATAAAATTCACTATGGAAACGGAACAGGAGAGAAAGATTAACTATCTGGATTTAACAATTAAAATAAACAATACCACGAGCAAGATAGAGTTCGAAACATACAGAAAACCAACAGCCACAGATACAATAATACACAACAGCTCGAACGATCCACAGCAACACAAAAATGTAGCACTTAGACAACTAATAACGAGGCTTGAAACGACCCCTCTAACAGAAGAAGACTACAAGAATGAACTGGATACAATATATGCCATTGCGCAAAATAACGGATATAAGAGAGGCCTGGTTGAAAAGTTAAGAAAGGACACAAAATCGAAACAGGGCAGAAAAGAAGAAAACAATAAAAAACTTTTGCAGTTCTAATTTACACGGGAAAGACGTCGTATAAACTTGCCAAATTCTTTCATAAGTACGACATTCAGACATCATTAAAAAAAAATAAACACTGTGGGACGAATATTGAAAGAGAAAATAAGCGAGGAAGACCAACTAGATAAATAGGGCGTTTACAAGTTAACCTGCGAGTGCCGATACAGCTACATAGGACAAACAAGACGAAATATAAGAACAAGGTATCGAGAACACATAAGGGATTATAATAAGAAAAAACGTAAACCAGAGGCTACAACAGAATCGAACTTCGCCAATCACATGATCAAAAGTAAATGCGCACCAATGAAGATTGGACAAACAACAGAATTTCTCCGTGTACAATATAAAGGACAAAGATTGAATATATTAGAAAATATGGAAATATATGTGACACGTAAAGTTAAAAGGGACCTACGGTCAGAAAAAGTCGGTTTTCACTTTTTCATCGACTCTTATAGTAAACGGGACGCTCTTTCCAATGCAATAAACCGCAGCTTTCTAGCTGCATTAGTTTTTTCATCAATTTCACGTCAAAGTTAGCTACTTTTAACAAAAAAAAGTACAAAAAAAAATCAAATCTGACAAACTATTCTGAAATTAATCAAATTCGCTTGAAACTCGTTACTCGGGTGTTTTGGGGTCGCTGATTACGAATCCGATGTTAGTTTTTCAAAATTCAAAATGGTGGATCCACATGAATTCGAAGAAATTTTACATTTTTTCCGCCATATTGGATTCGCCATTTTGAATTTTTAAAAACGAACATCGGATTCGTAATCAGCGACCCGGAAAACCCCAGAGGAACGAGTTTCAATCCATTAAAACGTTCAGAAGGATCAAAATCAACTTGGTAAACTTCAAAGTCGTTTTTCTCGAAATCGTTTTTTCTGAGCGTAGGTCCCTTTTAACTTTACGTGTCACATATAAACAGAAGACCTTCAAAGAACAAATAATAAATGAGCAAATAAATACTGTATCGGACGTACTGTTCGAACCTCTAAAACTACTGTACGAAAAGAAAAATGACAATAACAAAATATTAAGGATAGACATGGAAGTCAATATTTATAATATATACACATACATATGTCTAATCTGTAATCTTTATTTAATCAAGCAATTCGAGAGGAAGAAAGTGCGAAAGGCCGCAGTCGAAGAATATCAAAAATCAACAGTAATTTTTAACCCTTCAAACGTGCACATTATTATACTAAAATTAAATTGGCTTCTAAAAATTACGAGTGAAAGGTTAAAAATTGTGAGGATTTTTTTTAATTTGTTGAATCTTTGTGAGTTTTGCCCGAATTTGACTTTGACTTATATGGCGTATGTTATACAATAAGAGATATGTTTATAAAAAATTTGTGAAAAAATTTAACATTTAAATATTGTATGTAACTACATTCGTTAATAAATTCGGAACACATCAAGATAACCAACCGTTCAGCTATGGGCAAACTAAAAATGCAGACAGATAGTACTTTTTACGCTGATTTCAACTATATAAATACTATTTGGCGCAATTGAAAAGTAAAGAAGATGTAAGAGGTTAACATTTTTTTCGATATTTTAAAATATTAATATTTTCTAAACCACGTAACCGATTGTAAAAGTAATGACGTTAAAATAAAACCAATTAATCTATCTCCAAGTTAATATAAAAAATGTGTATGCTTGTTTATATATTTAAACCAAAAATGATAACAAAGAATTAAAATGTAAAATTTTTTTCGTAAAATAACCATTTTTAGAAAAAAGTGCATTAACAATGCTAAAGAGATGTATATAACTTAGAAAGTGCAAGTTTTTACCTTTAATATATACATATTTTATTATTATGATTTGCTATTGAGGTCTAAGAATTTAGTGATACCAAAATTAAAAGCATTTACAAGCAAGTGGCAAGTGTGAGGTGATATCATAGTTTCTTTTGCCCAGAACACCTTTCTGAGTAGGCGCACTTAGGGATTATTACCCCTCACTAAGTAGAATTCTCCTTTCTGTGTTGCCGAAGAAGGGGGGCTTAAGACCTTTTGCAGAGATAATTTGTCTGCGTAGGTGGCCTTCGGCCGCACTTAGGGATTATAACCCTCATGAAGTAGAATTTTCCTTCCCGTGTTGGCGAAGAAGGGGAGCTGAACACCTTTGGAGAGAACACCTTTCTGCGTAGGCGGCCTTCGGCCGCACTTGGGGATTATAACCCTCACTAAGTAGAATTCTCCTTTCTGTGCTGCCGAAGAAGGGTGGCTGAACACCTTTTGCAGAGAACACCTTTTTGAGTAGGCGGCCTACGGCCACACTTAGGGATTATAACCCTCACTAAGTAGAATTCTCCTTTCTGTGTTGCCGAATAAGGGGAGCTGAACACCTTTTGCCGGGAACACCTTTCTGCGTAGGCGGCCTTCGGCCGCACTTAGGGATTATAACCCTCACTAACAGGTCTATTCTGCACGTTACCGAAGATTTTGTAACCGGAAAATTGTATTACCAAAAAATGTTACCAGTTCTTGTCACCGCGATTCTAGGTACGGTGGTAATGCAGTTAAAATATTCATCAATTCAGCTATGAAGAATTTTGCAAATCCTGGCATTGCATATTTCACGGGGCAATAATTTGTTACCAGCTTAAGATGGTAACAAAATTTACCGGTTACAAGAGTACACAGAATGCGAAAAGGGTTTAAATCTTGACAGGAACTTTATTTACCGGTTACAAACTTTTTATTACCAGCGCAGAATAGACCTGTAAGTAGAGTTCTCCTTTCTGTGTTACCGAAGAAGGGGGCGGATATTTTCGCAGAACTTCTTCCACTATCACTGCAATTTCAAAACTCAAAAGCAAATCATAATATAATATGTATATTAAGTGCACTTTCTTAATAATATAAATTTTTTTATCATTAATTATGCACTTTTTCCAAAAAAGGTTATTTAATGAGAAAATTATAACATTTTTTTTGTTTTTTAATATTTTTGGCTTAAATATATAAACGAAAATACACGTTTTATATATCGACTTGAAGATAAATTAATTGTCTTTATTTTGACATCATTACCTTAAAATATTAATATTTTAAAATATCACGAATTTTTTTTTTTAACCTCTTATATCTTTCTTACTTTTCAATTGCGCCAAATAATATTTATATAGTTGAAATCAGCGTAAAAAGTGCTATCGATATGTATTTTTAGTTTTTCCATAGTTAAACGGTTGGTTATCTTGATGTATGCTATAAATTCAAGCAATTGTCTTAAAAAATTTGAGTTTTTTAATAGAATGATGCCAGTGCGCGGAATTTCGTGGTTGCCAATGGGAGAGACATAAATAGATGAGTTGGCATCCATGGTAGGAAGCCAATTTTTGATTCAACCAATCTCGTTTATAATTGCCTGATGTAAACACCGTATAATACAAATTATTTTCATTCTTTCGAATATAAAGGCTTAAAGGGTTCAAGTACTATACCGATAGTATCAAATTTCAATGTTTCGTTGCCGTTTGGGAGAGTGCCATTTGTGCTCTCGCTTTCTTTTTTTTTAATTTTTCCGTAAAGTACATTTTGAAGTTGGAGTATTGAGACGTGAGTAATCGATTTTTAATAAAGGAGTGGTCAAAAAGTAGATAACTAGCCAAAATTTGTTATAGCTTCTCAAAGGAAGAGTTAAGTGATATACATGTAAGTAAGACTATGCACATTATATTTCAAATATGCATTTTGAATTAAATCATTATGTTCGGTGTTTTCGGATTTAATTGTTTCTTTTAAAAATTTATGAAGAAAAGTTTAATTGGGGCAATGATTTTTAATGTTGAAAATGTTAATATGTCTACGGAGGAAGAAAGTCTACATTTTCAGTTCCTTTGTCTGGATGCATCGTCAATGAACCTACTGATGCAGATACGTATTGATGTATATATAAGTATGAATTCCCGGAAGATAAATTTGCATAAATACATAAATTTGTGTAACCGCTTATTAATTTTATTTTTTCTTGTAATGTAGATGAAATTTGAGGCCACCAGTGTCATGTTGTGTACACATTTTAATGGACACGCCCTTAGAAGGCATGAATTCCAGTAAAATTCAAGTAAAGTAGTAATACAGCACGAATCCAGGTTTAGAAAAGTTCATAAATTGGGGTGAGGTTGAAGCATACAAATTATAGTACTGGGCTTACATAGGCTGAGATTTTCAATAATGGACCATTTCCTATTAAAGGCAAAGTATAGCGAAATTTTATAGGGGTATTCTATGAGTCTTGCAAAGCCCTTGCATGGTGCACAGATTGCATGGTTAAAACCGGTTTTCGTATGGGACAGCTTTGCAAACTGTGCAATCCGTGCACCGTGCAAGGGCCTTGCAAGACTCAGAGAATACCCCTGATGAAATTCGCAGGGGGTGTTGAGGAAGTGCTTATTGACCGATATCTTCAACATTTTGTGTAGAAATGCTAAAAGTTTTAGGTAATTATCTATTTGGGCTTTCAACCCCTAAAATTTATCAATATTCTGGAAATGCGGTACCAATGGACGCGTCTGGACTCCAGTAATAAGAATTCGAAAGCGGAAGGTATTGGCTGCAATTTAGTTTGGCATCCCCGGATGCTATAAGGTAGCTATGGAACGGTAGAGGGAGTTCTCCTGATTGCAAATATGCATACTTTTAGCCGCAGCAGGCTTATAGTTTTTAAGTTATTTGTTGATAAAGTTTGTAAATTGAACTAACCTCTCGGCGCTATTTCTCACAATAAACACTCTATTTATGTACACACTTCGGCAAAATAGTTGCATTAAAATCCCGGCCTGAGATTTCCACTTCAATATACAATTCTTAATTAATTAATTAAGTAAAACGCGTTTATAAATATCTTCACAAACGTTTGCACATTTCATAAACAAGCAGAAATAACAATGGCTGACAGTAACACAAAATGTATGCTACCATACGTTAAAAAAAAAATACACCACAAATAAGTGCGTATAATTAGGGAGTATAAGTGTACAATACGTATGTACATACATTGCTCTTATTAAAAATTATAATATTAGGATCGATAGGGGTCTTACTCCTGATCATAACGGTATATTTTTTTTCGGGCGGAAATAATATTTACTGGTGTTATTGTAGTTCAAAAAGGTTCTGTTTATTGGCGCGTTTGCACCATAAACCGTTCTGCTTAGCCCAACCTTAAACGCACCAAACCGACGCAAACTACGGTTAGGAACCTAAAAATGGATTCTCTCAAGTAAGGCCGGGCACTCAATTTTTCTGAGATAATACCCAATAAAAATGATATAGCCTGAGAAGTTCTTCTCTTATGCAAAGTTGGTAGGCTAATTAGCCGACAACGGGACCAATATATGATGGCAATGGTGCAGCAAACCTTAGTGAACGTAAAGAAAAGCGTAAAAATACCTATTGCAACTTTTCTAAACGATTAATATGAACAGTATGACTCGGTCTCCAAATAAAGGCAGCATATTCCAATTGTGAACGCACAAACGCGGAATAGAGCATTTTAATAGTGTAAGAATCGGTGAACTCTGAAGAGTTCTGAAGAGAGCGCTTGAAGTTCAGCCGAGTCATTTATGCATATAATTTCAGAATATATTTTGAAGTCATCAGCAAACAGAAGAAAGCTAGGATTTGAAACACAGGAACTATTGTCATAAATAGTATGAAAAATAGTGTGCCCAAAATGCTGCCCTGTGGACTCCTGAGAGAGCAAAAAATGGCTTATGGGCTGTTTTTGCTTACGGGTAAAAGCACATTTAGCTCTAAATGCTACTGTTGTTGTTGTACTCTACTCTAAATGTTCATTTATCCACTTCTGTGGCTCCCGATCAGGAACTGCTTGAAGAGCATTATATTGTGCTCCTTTACAGGGAGCATTTGCGCCTCGCCGGTGTTCAGGCGACATCAGGAGGCATCCTGTCGCTGTCCTGAGTGCGGTGTTCTGTACAGTCTGTAGCTTCGTCCACTGCGTCCTACTAGTCCCTGGCGACCACACTGGCGCTGCGTAGTTCAAAACCGGCCGGCCTATTGCCTTGTATGTTGCCAGCAACGTTTCTTTGTCTTTGCCCCAAGTACTGCCGGCTAGCGACTTGAGGACCTTGTTGCGGCTCTGTACTTTATTGACAATAGCGGTTGAGTGCGCAGAGAAGGACAGCAGGCTGTCGAATGTTACTCCGAGTATTTTGGGGTTATTCACCGTCGGAATTGGTGTGTCATCGACGTGAATCCCCAGCGGTAGCCTGACCTCCTTCGTCCAGGTTGTGAACAGGGTCGCGGAGGATTTCGTAGGGGAGAGGGCTAGACACTTTGCAGTGAAGAAGCGAGAAAGTTCGGAGAGATACCCGTTTACTTTCGAACACAGGTCATCAATTCCATTCCCAGTCGCCATGATCGAGCAATCGTCGGCATAAGAGACAATCGAGACTCCCTCTGGTGGTTGAGGGAGCTTTGAAATGTAAAAGTTAAACACTAGCGGGGAAAGGACACCACCCTGAGGAACCCCCTGTTTTATTTTTCGCTGCTTACTCGTTTTGTCTCTAAACATTACCGACGAATGTCGATCACTCAGATAATTTGCCGACCGCCGTTTGAGCCTCTGTGGGAGAGAGGAGGCCTCTATATCTTCTAGTAGCGTGGAATGGCAGACGGTGTCAAACGTCTTTGACAAGTCCAACGCTACTAGAATCGTTCTCTCACAGGGACGGTTTCGGTTAAAGCCATGAGTTATCTGAGTGTTTATGGCGTTAAGTGCTGTTGTTGTACTGTGCACTTTACGGAAACCATGCTGATGCTTCGCTGGGGTCAGGTGGTTTTAGAAGTACGGGAGTAGCAAGGCCTCGAGTGTCTTCGCTACCGGGGAAAGGAGTGTTATAGGACGATAGGAATCTCCTTTGTTGGCAAGTTTCCCCGGTTTGAGCAGTAGGACCACTCTCCCCACCTTCCAGGATGATGAGAGTGGCCATAGACAAATTGAGTACCTCCGTTAGGTACGCTACCCCCGCAGGTCCCAAATTTTTCAGCTTCAGCATGCATATTCCGCCGGGACCCATGGCTTTGGAGGCTTTCGCCTTCCCGATGGCCACCTGAACTTCACCGCAAGTGAAAGCAAGGGGGGCACAGGTTGTTGGCAGTTTGTGCAGCCTTCTGGTCACTCGACGCTTGGCTTTGTCCACCGGAGGATGCAGTATGAACTGACGGCTAAAATAGCTCGCGCATCGCTCCGGGTCCGACGAGGCATGGTCGCCGAAGGAAATTTCGACTGTGTCGTCGTGCTTCGTCGGATTAGACAATGACCTCACGGTTGACCAAAGCTTGCTCACACCAGAGGAGAAATTACAGGTCTTCAGATGCTCCTCCCACTTCTTCCGCTTATGTACGTTTACTAGTTGCCGAATCTCCGCGTTGAGATCCCTGATACGGGGATCTCCGTGATCGGCCTGACGAAGGCTCATCGGCTAGAACAGCCGCTTCGGCAGGGAAGTTTGGACGTGGGTCCGATATACATCCTGCCGGTATGAAGCGAGCTGCAGCAGCAGTGACAGCCCTGCGGAACCTACGTTCACCGAGATGGACGTCGGTTGGTGTGGGGAGCGCTGTGAAGGTGTTTTCGGTAAAACTTTACAGCTTTAGAAAAGTTGATATAGGTCCGGTGTTTGGCGGAGGCAAAGTCGGTTGGTTCATCTATCGAGATGACTATGGGTAGGTGGTCTGATGCTAGAGTCAGCATAGGTCGCCATGTTATGCTGTTTATCAGACCAGCGCTGACTATTGTGATGTCTGGCGAGCTACTGCAGTTACCCATAATCCTGGTGGGTGCGTCGTCGTTCATTGTGCAGAATGTCGAATCGTTGTTGTTGTTGTAGCGGCACTACTAAGCCCCGCCTGTTTCGGGTCAACTTTTAATCATTATCGTCAAGCTCAACTAACGGTAGGCCCAGGAAACGAGCTGTTTCGATGGGGTCGGACCAAAGGGAGTGAGGTGTTAGTTGAGTCGGATTGAGCTGGCATGTGAAGAGGTGGTTGGTGTCGTGTGGGGAGTCTCCACATGCCGGGCACTCATTTGGGATGTTTGGGTCGAGTCTGGACAGGTAGCTGTTTAGGCGGCTACAATATCCAGACCGTAACTGAGCCAGGGTAACGCGGGTCTCTCTAGGTAACTGAAGCTCCGTCTCTTCCACAGGTGGTGATTGGGCTCCGATAACGACATTCCTAGGCCGGGAGTCGAGGTAGGTGGAGACAGACTCCCTATGAATGTCGTTAATCGCTCGTCTGTACGTCATTGGGTCCAGTGGTTGGTCTGTGTAGGTCTGGACTGCGTCCTTGTACATGAATAGGTGCCCCCTGACGTGCCTGGGCGGAGGCTCCTCCTCCAGCAGTGGTCTGTTGGGGTGTTCACTTCTGTGACACCCCACAAGAAACTGCTTACAGAGCATCTTGTTGTGTTCCCTTACGGGGAGCACTTGGTCCTCACTGTGTGGGTGATGCTCAGGCGTCATCAGAAGGCACCCAGTCGCTGTCCGGAGTGCGGCGTTCTGACAAGTCTGTAGCTTCGTCCACTGCGTCCAACTAGTCCCCGGCGTCCAAACTGGCGCAGCATAATTTAGAACCGGCCGGCCAATTGCCTTGTATGTTGCCAACAACGTTTCTTTGTCTTTGCCCCA